ATGTGACATTCTGCAATATATCCATAAGTAATATGAAAATAGCTATATATTCATAATTCTTTATTTAAATTACAATATTTTAATTTTTTTTCTTGTTGTATAGATAAGTTCAGCACAATTAATGTGATGTAAACAAAAACTTTCATTTTGTCCTAACACTAACACAAGAAGAATATATATGTTTTATAATTTTTAATATTTTATTAAATACCTTTGCTGCTAACAATTAAAAACTGACATGTTTTCTCATATATTTCCATCTTAGATCTAAACATGTACCAATATACCGTGGACATATATCACTTTTTATGTAGCGTAGGACTGTGAGTAAGAATTGTCTTACATTCCATGGTATTAAAAAATGTAAACATGTATCATATATCAAATCAAAAAGAATTCTCTCATGTTATATTTAATATGACTATGTCAATATGTCAAAAATAAAAAATATGATCATATTATGTGAGAAGATTTTAATTATAATTGAATAAATTAATAGTGATGACTTTGTAATATTTTTTCGCAATTTTTGTTGTATCTCTTCTTTTATTATTATCAATCTATTTTTGTATAGTTAGAATTCTCTCATAAAACATAATTATATTAAATAATACATAAAATGATTCATTCCCAAAATAAGTGGCGGACCTAGAAAATTTTATTTATATTTGCACACTTAATGGTCGGAAATTGGTGGCAGCGCCCTCGAAAAATATATTTTTAATTTTTTTTAAATGCATTAAAAAACAAAATAATATAAACAAGGAATCAACCATTCATCTTGTCCTTCGCCTTCGTGGTGGCTTTTAAGCTTTGTTCCTTTGTTTTGTTGGTAATAGGTGGTCTGTAGCTAATATTGTTGCAATCGTCTGTAACTAATATTTTTTATCCATCTTTTGCATTTGATCCTCTTTTTTTGGTTGCGAAAATACATTTAAGAAAAGAATGTTATTTTGTTGGGGAATGGAATTTTTCTAACTTATTGTTTACGGATGTGTCTGTTTAAGTATTGGTGATATTAATATAATTATATTTTGAGAGGTAAGCAGAGGCATGTAAAGTACTTGAGTAATGTGTGTTGTGATCTACGTCATTTGTTCTAGGGATGTGCATGGGTCGAACCGAACTGAATTTTTTGAAAAATTGAATTGAATTGGTTTAAATGGTTCGGTTCGGTTCGAAAATGATTCGGTTTGGTTCAAAACTGATTCGGTTGGGAAGTGGTTCGGTTCGGTTGGAAACGGTTCGGTTTGGTTCGGAACCAGTTCGGGTCGACCTTATTTTGAAAAGAAAAATATTTAAAAATTTAAAAAATAAAGTCATAAAAATCAATTTGATTTGGTTTGAAAAAGGTTTGGTTCAAAACGGTTTGGTTCTTAAACTGGTTCTATAAGCCGGTTCGGTTCATGAACTGGTTCTTTAAAAATCGGTTCGGTTCAAGAATTGGATTTTTAAAAACCGATTATTTTAAGGGTGGTTCGATTCGGTTAATGGTTTGGTTTAATTTTTTAGTTATTTTGTACGCCCCTAATTTGTTCCATTTGATAAGACTATTCTCTATCATTTTATACACTTGCATGACAAGAGCGTTCTCAATGTAGTTTTTTTTTGTTGGTAAACCTCAATGTAGTTTTTTTAATAAAGACCAATCTACACTTGCTCATATTAATATTAATCATAAGAGTTTATGATTTCAACTGCAGCTCATATTAATATCGAAAAAATGTTTATCCTTTTAAATGACATAATTTATATCCTTTCACTCTTATAAAGAGGTGGAATCCACGCCTTTATTTTTTTTGTCAAGTCTCTCTCTCCTTTTGTTTATTTCTTTCTCTCTCTAAAAATGACACAACTTTACCTCTTTTAAAATGACACACATTTTTCCCTATTAATATTAATCATAAGAGTTTATGATTGCAATTGCATACACTTGCATATAACTAGATGCTCGGAAGAGTATTTCAACTTAAGAAGACAATATGCACAATTGGACTTGAGGGTGGAGACGCTAGGGGTGTCAATATAGGTTTTGACACGCGGGTCGACCCGCGACACGACACGAAAATTCGTGTTCGGGTTGACCCGCAAAAAAATTCGTGTCGTGTCGGGAAAAAATGACACGTAAAAAATTCGTGTCGTGTTCGTGTTGATGTATTCGTGTTCGTGTCAACCCGTATTTTTTTAAAATTATTTTATTTTTAAATTTTTATTATTATTTTTTAAATTTTTTTTAATTTCGATCCATTTTTTTTTAATTTTTTTGTCAATTACCGTTTTGACCCTTATTTTGTGTGTTATTAGTGTCGTGTCGTGTCAACCCGCAAAAAATTCGTGTCGTGTCAGTGTTGAAGATTTTGACACGAATAAAAATTTGTGTCGTGTTAGTGTTGATGTATTCGTGTCGTGTCGAATTCGTGTCGTGTCAACCCGTTTTGACACCCCTAGGAGACGCATTCAAAATAAATGACACCAATTCTAAAAAGAATATATATTTTCTTATGTTCTAGGACAGGACAGAAGATAAGTTTTCTACAAACATAATGTCATGTGAGACTCGTTGTTTTAATAAAAGGAAGAAAAAGAAAAAGCCCAACATATTTTTCTATGGGTTAGCAGGAAATTATTTTTATTTTCTTGTAATATAACAGTTGTATTTCTCTATATTTAAACTCCGATATAACTATTTTAATAGCGAGATTTACTTTTGTCATGCAGCTGGACGGAAACAAATGTTTTTGGGAATATAAATTTTATGGGACTCACAATTTTTTAAATAAAAAAAAAAAAAAAAGACAAGCTCCATAAATAAAGTGTGTGCAGGAAACTAATTTCTTTGTCACGTAACATAAAACACTTACATTACCCTTTAATAGCTTTGCACAATTACGTATTCAAACGGTGATCATTTTGACCTGTTCTTTTATTTCCCATCCAAATTAACACGTGAAGTCTTCGGATTTTCACTTCTTTTAAATTTCACTGTGAATTTAGAGGCTTACGAATGGAGAGCTATTTAGTATTAACTTTTATTTTATTTTTCAGAATTTATTCTTTTATGGATTTAAATTATGGAGGCTAAAACTAATTTCTAAGTATTAATCAATTGACGTTCTTCTTCTTTTCTTTTTCTTTTTTAAACAACGTGTCACTTTTTTGTAATAAAAAATAAAAGGGGTTGTTCTTGTGTGGGGTCCTATAAACTTCCATGTTTTTGTAGCCAAATCAAAATTAGTATGTAATCACAAGTTAAAAAATACGTGAAAACAGCTCGTGCTTTCAATTGAAAAAAAAAAAGAAATAAAAAAAAAGGTGAAAATGAAAGCTCCAATTGTGTTTTGTTGGGTTTTGGTTTGAAAGTGCATTTAGCACACCCATCGGTGGACCTGTTTTGGTGTAAGTGTATGCAAGTGTAACCACAAATTTTTGGAAGAAAATACAGACAGTTTATTTTGAGTCCTTAACAAAAATTAAAGTTACAGGATCCAATGTACTCTCTTAGGAAATTAAATTGACTCTCAGTCCCTCTGAATTCCAAAATAAACTCGATTAGTCGAAATCGTGTTTCCTCTGAAATTCAAAGAAAACCTACATTAATCTCTCAAAAAGGCTAACATGGGTCATTTTGAAATTCAGAGGAATCACGAATCAACTTTTTTTCTAAGGAATTATATTGAGTCCCGTGATTTTTGTTGAGGACCTAAAAGGTACTTTATTTTTGTAGTAAGTTCAAGTTTTCTTTTCTTTTTTTATTTATATTCTTTTATTTTTTAATACATTTAAAACTTTCTTTAAAAAAAATTTCTTGGGGGCATTGCCACCGAACTCCATCTTTAAATGTACAGACATAAATAAAATTGTTTGAGTTCGTCACTAAGTGCACAACTTGATTAGGGGGAGAATATGTAGTTAAAATCTCGATTTAAATATATGCTTTTGTAATTTAATCAAAATTCTAAACATTTTTATATTTTTATGTTTATTTATGTTAGGATTTTATAATTTTTTATCTTCTTTAAATTTTAAATAAAATTTCGATTTTAATTATTATCACGGGAGACGGTCTCAACGTGGTTATATTTGAACATGTCGGTCCACGTTTTCGTGAAAATAAACACGCGTTTTAGGATACAGTCTCAACCGCGCGCACGTGATTCCGATAGTACAGTGGTACTCCAGCTAAGCAAACAGAAGTACAAGTTTTTTGAATCCAATCCCATTGGCGCCCACTGACTCACTGAGCGCCGCGTCTGTTGTTTTGTTTATTTTCGAGAGAGGGAAACGTGGTTGAAACTTCAAACTTGAAACTTGCAAAGCCAAAACCAGCAGCGCTACTGGATTTTTACCCACTTTCCATTATTCTGACCATTTTATACCCACTTCCCCTCACCGTCATGGCATTCAGTAATCTTACGTTATCCGCTACAGTATCCACCAACGTAATCTCAAAGAGACATGATTAATTTTATTTTTTTAAGATCGTTTTTGACGGCGCTTGATCAACCTAGGAAAAACTTCTTTAATAAAAATTACGAAACAAATTATTAATATCATATTGACCGAATCCTAACATTCACACTAATTTGATTTTGCAACAATGCTTGGTGGCTTGCAAGTTGCAACGCCGCAACCCCTACGCAGCCATGATTGCCATATTCATGCATTTTTTACTTTTTTTGTCATCCGCGAATTAGGGACAGAGACGACATACCATATTCAACGAGGCGAATGAATATAATAATACTAATTAAATAAAATTCAACAAATTTTTCCAAAAAATAAAAAAATAAAAAACTGCAGTCGGTATTCCTAGACGGTTAATTTGATCTGGTAAAATCACATCATTTTTCTTGTATCAGGACAAAAAATATTTCTAATTCCAATATTAAAGCATACGCCGTAATCCCCCACGCAGCCATTCTTGCTCTAGTGAAATGAAATATTATACTAATACTAAATAAATAAAATTCAACAAATAAATAAATAAATTCATACACGGTTAATTTCATCAACTAAAGTTACAGTTCAAAATACCATCAAAAGAAAAATTACAATTCAATAAAAGTAGACCATGACCCTAAATTCTAAAAACAAACAAACAAATAAAAGGGAGTCGAAACTCATGGCACCAATTCTACCCACCCAAACAACTACCCAATTTACATTTCCATTAACATCCCAGGTAAAAATAAAATGCAAAAAATGCAGAGATCTAGCCATGAGAATTGGGAGAAGCTTTCACAGGACTGTTGAAGAAGACACGAACTCATTCATCGAAGCTCCAGAGTTCACCAACCACGCTTTCCTGAACATTATTCGACGCCATCGATTGCCCATCATAGTACGGAATCTGATAAAACTTCATATAGTTCTCGTATGCCATTAGCTCATCAGATAGCTCCTGCACTTCATTCTTTTCCGCTTGGGCTTCAATCACCTGTTCTTCTTTCTCATTCATCTTCACCCCACCACTAAAATAACCGCTCGCATTCTGATTGGAGCCCATGAACTCAGTTGTCGAGTAAGCACCCTCTGACCCTGACCCAGAAATTTCATCACCAGAAACAATAACTGGATCAGTGCTGATACCACCCAAAAGGGGAGGGGGAGGAATTGCCCCAGCTTGGTTCAGATCATAACCAAACTCCAAGTTTAGATTTTTAGAGGCATTATTCAGATCGCAACAGTATTGTTGTTGAAACAGGGGAGGGTTTTGCAATCGTAGTGGAGGGGGTGGATTATGATTACTATGACGAACCTGAATTGAATACTCGTCGTCTTCGTTTGGAAAATTCACCTTGGCTTTCTTGCCGCGGATTTTTCGAGCCTCTCGATCATAGGCCCTTGCAGCTTCTTCCGCAGTATTGAAGGTACCCAACCAAACACGAACCCCTTTCCTGGGATCGCGAATCTCCGCCGCCCATTTGCCCCACGGACGCTGTCGAATCCCTCTGTAGAGGTTTTTCCTCTGCCTTTTCACCGGCTTCTCAACTTGCTCGCTAACTGTTCGTAGAAAGTCCCCATTCAGAAAAATAAAAAAATAAATAAAAAACAAAAGGAAAAAAGGAGTAAGAAAAGAACACTGACCAGTAGAAGGTTGGGATCTTTTGGGGGTGGGTGATTGTTGATGACCCATCTGAGAATAATCGAAGTCCGAGTCATTCTGCTTACCACCGAATGAGTTAGGCCAGAGCTCGGAGGCCGTGAGGCGGCGACCTCCACGGCGAGGGATGAAGTCAGCGATGATAGCACCGCCACACATGTCGCTTAATTCAGGTGATGATGATTACTATAAGCGCAGCTTGAGTAATGGGTTTGGGAGTAGGATATAAAATGACTGGAGTTGAGGTAGGTGCTGAATCACTATGAGAGAATTTTTATGACAAGTTTTCGAGGAAGATTTTTTTTGTTTCCGGAGTGTTTGAAACTGACAGGACGTGAATAAACTTGGAAGGGTAGAGGGGCTTTTGTAGTTGGAAAAAATGGGATGGAGAGTGCGTGACAGATGCATCCGGAACCTTCCTAGAGAAAGACTTACGCACACACTGACAATTATTTTTTGCTTTTACTTTTTGCTTTTGCTTACCAAATTCTGACTTACGTGGCTGGCAAGCAGCTCTCTCTAGAGTCTATACTCTATAGACTACAGGGTCTGACGGCGTAGTTTTTTCATTGTGAAATCCGACCTGGACCGGATTGACCTGAAATTCGATGATCCAATTTAAGTATTGTATCTATAAATCAATATTATTTCATTTTGTAAAAATAAAAGAGGAGGGATATTTTTATTATTAAATTTTTTTACAATCAACTCATTACCTATCTAATCATCAATGGATCAATATTTTCTCTTTTTTTAAAAACTTTTTAGCATTTTTTTTCTTTGATTCAATGGTGATTAGATAAGTAGTAAGTTAGTAATAGAAAATTTTGGTACTAAGAATATCTTCCCTTAAAATAAAAATGTAGAACACTTTTTAATTTTATTTGCTAGTAGTATATTCTTTTAGAATGATCTCAAACTTCAATTTTCAATACTAAAGCAATTTGTAAAATAATAAATTAAGAGAATGCGACATTTGTCATATTAATATGGATAAATTTGAAAATGAATTCACAACATCTGGCCTTTTGAAAGTCATTGAGAGATATGCTTGTGGGAATTCTGAATTACAATTTAAATTAACATAATAATAATATGTTTTTCATTTATTTGTTCATTATGAACTTGTAAAAAGTATTTTTGATAAATTTTTAAACTTATTTAATAAATTTTGTTTAACTTATTTTAAATACGGAGAATATAATAAAATTTATATATTCATTTATTTATTTATATATATATATTTATATATTTTAAATCAACCGGTCGAATCAGTAATTCATCAATATAACCAATGATGCAGTACCCTAATAAAGTTGATACCCGATTAGATTTAATAACGCTGATTTTTTCGGACCACTCGGGACCTAGTAAAACTGTACAAGCCGCAAATTCAATAGATTAAGATAAAATATTTACCGCATTCAAAATGTTTCTTTAAAAAAATACAAATTACAATAAGAAATCAAAATTTTTAAAATATTTTTTTTTTCTATTCTAAACCCTGGTTTCATCAAATAATTTTATCTCGAAAAACGTTAATCCCTTACATTTATTTTTATAACTGAGAGTCTATTGAAAATAAATATATAAATAATTTTAAAAAATATAAAATAAAATAAAATAAATTTAAAAATAACATTTTTACTTATAAATTTAAAAATAAATTTACTTTACGCTTTTTAACCTTATTTACCCCACTCATCATCATTTTATGGGCCTGAATATTATTGTTTTTAATTTTTAAATTAAAGTTGGGAGTAAAATTACAAAATGAATACATATAACGTATGTGTGACCCTTCATAAAGTTTTTTTTTTTTTTTTTTGTATACAACCCTTCATAAAGTTTTTATATGTAAATAAAGAAGTAAATTCTTGCTTTCTTTATAAAAATGAAATTTAAAATCAGCAACTGAATCCCTGATGTCCAAAATAATCTATATATTTATAAAATGTTAATTTCTTATACATTAGTTTAGAATGAAAATTAAAAGCTTTCGAGGAATAAAAGAAATTTATTAGAGAAAATTATTTCCTGGACTTGTATATTTGAGATAGAACTTACTCAATATAGCCTTTTTACATAACAACTTAGTTAGGCAATAGAACTTACTCAATGTAGTTTTTTTACATAACAACTTAGTTAGGCAATAGAACTTACTCGATATAGCATAAACGAATGGGTGAAAAAAATTAAAAGAGAAGATGCAATTCAAACACTCTTCGATCAATTCAAGGAAATATTCACCCATATTTTCAATTGTCTAGATGGCCTAGTTGCAAGCCCAAATCGTCAAAAGGAAGATAATTCGTCAAATAATTTTATCCATGCCCCACCTCATTCCCATTTTGTATCTAGGCCAAATATGTATGCTTCAAAAGTGGAGAGGGTTTTTCTTTTTGACAATTCCACGCGAAGGTTATGGAGTTATCCATCAAATTAGGCATTGATCATTTTGACAACACCTCCCCCCATGCTATCATTACTATTGAAATTTTGAATATGGTCTATAGAGTAACAAGAGATGAAAGGAACATGGAATGAATTTGTATATTGAATTAATACAGGAAAGTACAATATATAGAAATCTTAACGGGATTGGACCAAAGACCCATTGATCATAGTAATAGTAAGAAATGAACCATTGGTACAATAATGACTTATTACCAGAAACTGTAACTGAGATATCCCAGCAAAATAATTATCAATTGGAGCAATAGAGACAGTAGTATCAGATGCTTACTTCTCATACCACCAAGTTACAAATTCATTAAGAAGAGCTGTAGGAGGTTGTGTTGCAGAAGGTAACCTTGGATCAGGAGTATTAGACAGAGTCTGAGCAACACGAGCACTCCGAGGAGGCTGAGGTGGCTTGCCATGGAGCTTCCCACAATGGTCAATAGTATGATTGGTCTGATGACAATAAGTACAGAGTTAGCCACCAAATTAGGCACTGATTATTTTGACAACACCTACCCCCTTCATGCTATTATTACTATTGAAATTTTGAATATGGTCAAAGGTATGAATCAAACAAGGCAGTATCTCAATCAAATAATTTCCTTTAACCAAGATCCCGAAATTTTGGTTTAGTTATAAGATATCCAATGAGAATTTTTTTGAGAAGACGAAAAAGAAAATGTCATCTATAAAGGATATTTTCCAATCAATTATAATGAAGGGGCAATATATCGATATGAGATAATTCAATTAGTTGATTTTAATCTTGAGATCAAGAATAACTTTTAAAAGGAAAGGACATGTTAGTGGACAAATTAAGGATAATTTTATTAAGAGATAAGTATTATAATAATTTACAGATATCACTACTCTATTTGTTACCAATGAACACCCCCCGGTTGCACTTGGGCGCTAGGCCTCATTTTGGATAAAGTACCACCTAATTATTGGTGATCTTCTATGATACATCGACACTTTAAAAAACCTGACATTTCGTGTCTGACACTTTCTGACACACTCCGACACTCCAACACGCGTTGCAGGTACTCAAAAAAAGAATCAAAGGTTGCGTCGCATTGCATTTTTAGTTTCAACTATTAGATTTATTGTATTATGATTACCATTTTATTGAGTTTAATATAACTATTTAGAATATCTTATGTTTCTTTATAAAATTGATAGGTATTATAAGCATAGCTTCATTTTTTTTGTTAAATTACTAAATATTAAATATAATATATACTACACAAATTAAGAATATTATTTAATATCAAAACGTGTCCTAATGTGTCGAACTCTAGTAATTTTTAAAATTAACATGTCAGAGTGTCGTATCCCATATCAATATTGGTGCAATATAGGTGGTCGAATGTCACTTACCCCCCTCCCACCTCTTACGTACTAATAATGAGGATAAAGTTTTCCAACGTGCTTAAATTATTACAAAACTATCCCTTCAGTTACAAGGTTATACAAATTATAATCGAGCTCAAACATGTTGGACATATCCTAGGATTGATGGACAACAAAATATTCATCCACCTGTCTAACTTTTTTGTTTTTTTTTTTTAAGTCAAACCACAATGAAGTATTAATGGACATATCCTAGGATTGAATAAAGGGAGGAACGGTTCAATGAAGTCACCAGCAGTAGATGTCTAGATGAAGAAAAACAAGCACATCGCATGTTCAACTCGTGGGCAAAACCCACATGTTGGTAGTCCGACAATAAAGAAGACATCAAATTGCCTTTTGACTCTCATCAAATTATTCTTTTACAGAATTTTGCATGCCTGGAGTCGCAACATTACTCTATGAATTTACATTCTATCGTGTCATTATAAAAACTTAATTATAATTAAATAACAAATTATTATTATCATTATACTAATCCAAGTTGTTGCACTTACATATAGAGTGACAAGTTTTAACAATTTATTTTTAAATTGGTGACACTATATGATGTACTAAGTGTGTAAAAGGCTTCGCAGTCATAGATCAAAGTTAATTGTTACAAAATAATGGAATAATCTCGATCTATTTATAGTGTAAATAGTTTTACATCATAAATGAAACAAATGCACACAAATGTTTAAAAAAGAAAAGAAAAAGAAAAACATTCTGTGCAAGTGAATCTAAGTTATGACAATGATGCGCAATACTATCTTGTTTACTGATGGTGTTAAAAGCTATTGAAATCCTATAATTAAAGCCAAAAAATTTAATTATTAGAACAATAATATACATTTTATTTGTTTATAAAGTTATTACAATGACTACCAGATTTGTTATTCGGTGATCATCCACTTAATAATAATTGCGTGTTCTTCCTCTCTTAGCTTGATTCATATCTCAAATGGCAATGCATGCAGGGAATCAAATTCATCCGTCCTAGTTTTCAATACAGCTCCATCCCTGGTCAATTAATTCAATTTTTACGAGTTAATATGATATAACCCTGAAGTTAAATCTCATCCACATAAATTTAACATTTAAACTGTCAAAATAGGTTGATGGGTCATGATAGATAATCAGCTGAAAATGCTTAATTGGACTCATAGCACAACAATCCATTTCTATTGAAACTTTTGGCCCGATTTCTCACAGTCCATGGGCCAAAGTCAGTTGGGGATGGGCTATCCTTTGAGCCGACCTTGTTTCTTTCACTTTAAAAAGTCGAAAAAGAAGGGATGCTAACATTGAGTGATTAAGTGGATGACATGTTTAACCAGTTACTTATTTTAAAATTTAATTAATAAAAAAAGATAATTAATTTTTTTATTTTTTTATATATTGCTTTTAAGGGGTTATGTATTCAGTCTATATTGTCCAAACTGTTACTAGTGTTGTGTCGGTAAGTTTTCAGTCACAAACAATATATTATCATGTTACACATAAAAGATAATATCCTATAATTAATTGTCATTTATTGTTAAATATTCTGCCAAGAGAGTAAATGAAGGCACGCAGGGTGTAAACTATTGAACATATATAGACTGTACGTCGTCAAATTATCACTGTAAATGAAAAGAGGAGTCAAATATTCAAGGTGGATTATCGATTTGTTTGGATGATTTTTTTTTTTTCAAAAGCTATTTTTTTTTTAAGAATTTTTTTTTTTATTTTAAATTTATTTAGATGTCTGCTTTTAAAAAAAGCATAAGTCACATAAAAAGTTAAAAACTTATTTTTTTTGAAAGCTAACAATTTTAGCTTCTAAAAAAAAAATTAAGTCAAAAGCCAATATTATTTTCAAAATCTAAATATTTATTTTAAAAATCTAAATAATTTTAACTTTTGTAAAAAATACTTTTGAAATAAACAATGCATAAAAACAAATTTTTTTTTAAATCCGTATGTAAAATCCGAACCGTGCTATTTTGTAAAGTGCATATTTTCTGGAAACAGTGACTAAAATGTCACTTTTTGGCAAAATTTATACTTAAATGCCACGCGAATAATACTTTTTACCAGAATGTCACGTGGGCGTAATTCGCTACGACTGGTAGCGAATTACGTTCGCCAATGATTTTATGACACGTGGCACATTTTCGCAAGAAAAAGCTGACATGTCATAATTCGTTATCAGTGATAGCGAATTTGGTCTGCAATATGATCACGTGTCACGAAATCATTGATCACGAAATTCGTTACCAATTATAATCAATTATAACACGTCTGATAATAAATACTATTTATATGATATTTAAATAAAATTTTAACAAAAAATGACAATTTGGTCACTGTTCCTATTTTCTGGGGTTAGACGTGTTCTCCATTAATTAGGTGACCCAGTCATATATCATAGTATTTAAACTTTTCTTGAATGGAAACACACTGAAAATAAAATCTGCTGCCCTGTACAGTATCTGAAGACGTGAAAATCACGTTCTAGTCTACACAGGACAGGCTCCCCTCGTTATTATTCATCATAAATTTTGTACTTTCTAAGTCCATAACGTGCAACCAATTTATCTTGCTCCAACCGTATATTACATTTTCTCCCCAAATTATATAATGCATGAGATCATAGGGCAATCATTAGACTCTATAAATAGCCAAGCTATCCGGTGCATTGGTACCTCACCCTCTCTACTTTGAAGCATTTCTTTAATAACCCTTTGCAAAAACATTATAAAGAAATTCATAAATGGCTTTCCTTCGATCAATATCCGCGACCTCTATGCTTCTTTTAGCATTGGTAGTCATTGCCTCCGCAACTGATTATGGGTATGGTCCAGCACCAAAGTTAGGAGATTCCAAACCCGAAACAGTTTATGGGGCGCCACACCCCACAAAACCAGACTATGAAGTGCCCAAACCAAAAGGAAAAGATGAACAGAAACAGCTTCCCACAATCATTGGTGTCCAAGGAGTTGTTTTATGTAAATCAGGCTCTAATTACTTCCCAATTCAAGGTACTTTTTCCATTGATCTAATAAGAAAGGGAAAAAGAAGAAGAAGCAGAACTCTGCCTATTTTATTTTGTTCAACATTTAACTAATAATAGGTTTATTTTCATTCCAAGAAATCGAAACTAATTAATTTATGTTAGTTTGTATTTTGAACATGGGAAATAATTTTCTTATGTCGTAGGAAAATACTTATCTTATGTTGTAGAAATGAGATTGCAAGTGAGACCCATAAGTAAGAGGAGAGAGAGAAAAAAATGAGACCCACCTAGCTTTTGTATATGTAGAAAATTTAGTTATCTCATATAAAAATAGATAAATATAACCCTTTGAACATATATATTTGTTATTAATTGTATTTGTCATGTGTGAGGGGTGCAGGAGCCGTGGCACGAGTTACATGTGGATGTGTGAATGAGCTTGGGTACGAGACAGGTCCTATCTCAGCATTGAGTCATATAACGGATAAGAAAGGTTATTTCTTTGCTACATTGTCACTTGCGGAGATTGGGTCTAAGTTGAAGCTTACTGAATGCAAAGCATACCTAGAGAGTTCTCCATTAGAGACATGTAAAGTTCCCACCGATGTGAACTACGGGATCAAGGGTGCTCGTCTTTCTTCTTATCGCCTCCTTGACAATAAGATCAATTTGTACACTGTGGGACCTTTCTTCTGCACCTCGCAACCTAAACCAGTTCCTAACGGTTATTGAAGCAGCTTCTATACGATGTCCATTGGTTTACCAAACAAATTGACATAAAATGGCTGCAAAGTTTAAGAATGATGTTTTCTTGTTTTTGTTTTCATTTAGTGTGCTTTTTCTAATGTTTCTCTTAATGTTGATTTTATAATTCGTTGGTTGGAGCAATTGATGGAGCCTCCTTCCCTGTAAGAGATTTATGTCAAAATTTAATACGTTGTTCTCATATTGATACCTAAAGAAAAATAAGGTTCATATATATATATGCCACCCCCCCCCCCCCCCCCCCCCCTTTTTTTTGTATACATATATGCCGTCCTTTATTCCTTCATGTGTGCTCACTCTCTCCTCCTTTTTTTCTTTTTATCTTTTTGGTTAACTAAGAACACTCGTTTCTAATTACTATTTTAGGCACCCTAGCTGGCTTTTCTTTAAAATTAATTAATGCTTCAATTGATTTTTAAATTTGGTAGAGATTTGTTTCCCCACTTTTGTTCTGTTGGGTTGGAAAACAACTCGCATCATTCTCTTCCATGATCTCGATCACTAAGAAGGAAAAACAAGGCATGTATATAAGGCATATTTCATCTTACAATATCAATATCAACAACATGTATATAAGGCTGTTCAAGGATAAACAGGCTTAATTAGGCTCAAAGGGTTAAAAAAAAATATCATAATGGTTAGCTTTATGACTAAGTAGCTAAAACAAGAAAAATGTTTTAATCATGTCAAAAGTGCATGTAATTAACCATCTCAAGGAGAAACAAAACAAGTTCAAGAGTATTCTAAATAGTGAAGTGCACACCACAAACAAAGGATTTTCTGTTTAGGCTCAAAATGTCACGGCTGTGGGTGTGCAATTCAGTTAACTATACTCTCTCGCAATTACTCATATTGCAATCCTAATATTTCTGATTACTCTTAGACTTACTCAATCAGTGCTCATTCACAAGATCAAAACAAAATATAAGTCATCACACTTAGGATTAATTCACTAACTAATTCCATATTAATTCTTCATTGGCATAATCTAACTCTTATCGGTAAATCAAACAAGGAGGAGAAAATTAAAAGAAAAATGGAAAAAAAGGTTCCTTGTTTATCTGAAAATTTTGCAACTCTACACACAACGGGAATCTAACTGCTACTGTATATGGTGGTGCTCCCCATTCTCAGATTTAAAATTTTGTTGTCCTCAGCAATCACTGCACATTTAAAAACATAGAGCATGTAATAATAATAAAAACAAGCAGTAGCATAAGGAATTCATCAAATATACATCATCATGGAGATCAAAAGTTAAAATTAAAATAAAACAAAAGGAACGAAAACAAAAATTAAATGCAGCAAAATAAAATAAAAGCATAAATCTGTTGGGTTGCCTCCCAACAAGCACTTGTGTGGCGAAAAATCGACAAGTGTACCAATCGTTCAAAGTAATAAAAGGGTAAGTAGAGTATCGTCTCCACGAGGATTGAGGCACCGAAATTATTTAAACTATTCCTCTCTTGTTGGATTAATAAAATTGGTATGAGAATAATTGTGGTTGTAAAAATTGAGAACAATTCAAAAACTTGTGAATAATTCAAAGATGCTTTTAAAACTTTGAGAATAACAGATCAAGATTGAGAAAATATTTAAAAGAATATTGCGGTAAAAGACGCCAACACCTTTATGATCCCGACCTTGCACTATGAATTAAGTTTTACATTTAATTTAACCATTGATCAAATAATTCACCATCTATTAATTGATTAGTTAAGCCCTAATTTCTTAGTGATCTTAACTTTATTAACCCTATTAGAATCCTAATCCCTTAGAAATTCCTTTTCAAGTTAAGCCTTTAAATCAGTGAATTTTTCACGTTTGCAATTCATGCAACCTATCCCTAGTGCGTACATGAATTGTTATTTTATCCTTTGTCAGGAACTAGAATCTCAATATTCCTATTGAAAACCCTAACCCTCGCAATCCTAATAGAGTGATCGGTTCTAAAAGAATCATAACATGAAGAACAAGATAAAATAAATACAATTGAAATAAATAAATATAAAAATTAACCAAACTACAAGGGGTTCACATTAAGGGTTGTGACCCTTACCACAATAATAAAAGACTAGCCAAACATGTTCATGTCTGACAATTTAATGTAAGAAAGAGAAATCATGAATAAAACAATAACAAGAGAATTTGGAGAAGAAGAAAGCTTGAATCTTAAATCCAAACGCTTGCTTCGATCTCTGCCTCCGTATTCTTCTCCGTGCAAAAAGTTGTTTTCTCTTAAGTTTTCTGACTCCCTTTTATAACCAATGACTCAATTAGGTCAAAATCTTTCAAAAGATTAGATTATTTTTTCCGTTTCTATCCTAATCTGCAAATTAGGAAGCTGCAATCACGATGACCGCGCAATCAGTGCCGGATCCGCTCGATTCGCGCGGGCGATAAGTTGAGATTCCTGTGCTTCGTGCGACTAGCGGGCCAATCAAGCTATTAGCGTGAGATTGCAGTGAGTCCTCCTTCTTCACTTGGCGCGACTAGCGTGGCCATTAACATAAAGTTGGCGCTAATGGCGTGAAATTGGCGCCATTAGCGTGAAGCATCAACGGACGTTTTTACTTTGGCGCGACTAGCATCAAAATCCATGCTATTGGCGTGGAGAAAAATGGCTCCTTAGGTTTTCTCGCTAATAGCGTAAAATTCACGCTATTAGCGTAAGAAGACAATGGATGAACATGATTTGCACCATTATCACATTTGCATCAAACTAACAGTCTTCGTGTTTTCCTCCTATAAAAACATTAAAACCAGAGTGAAAGTGTGCCTGAAGATAAATTATCAATAATTCACTAAAATCATGCTTTGTATCACTGAATTACTGTCAAATTCTCGTTCTTTTAACTCTAAAATACCTATATACTGAAGGCACATCAGCTTGTTTAACGTCATTAGCTTGACATTGCAGTTTCATTGGTCATGGTGGCTTATAGCCGGAGTTCAAAAATGATGCCATCCCTTTTATCATAAATCGTGCTTTTCCATAATAGTACTCTCGTGCATATGTGGGAGAAGGTTTGGCCTCAAGAACTCTAAACTTAGTCTTGATATGTTTTCCCTTGCTCTTAGGCTTTGCCATATTCACCTTCGACTTGCAGCTCTCATCTGGCTTATGATCTTTCCTTTCTTCCTCCTCAGCATTCTTCTCCACAATAAATAAAATCTCCTCTGGTTGAGCTGTAGGTGGTGGAGTTTCTTTTAATTCTAACTTCAAAAACTCAGGGGACTGAGTAGCATTTGTCTTGTCTTGCACGAATTTGTTGTCTTGTTCAGTATCCAAAGACTCAAACTCATGATTGTCAGAGACAACATCAATGGCTTTAACTACTTCTTCCAATAGAGCCTCATTTAATGGATCAGAAGATTGCAGAATCCTTGCAAATGACTCCTCCATTGTAGGTGCAGAGTTAATCTCATATGCAATCGCTGCTACAGCTTCATCGATCACGTCGATTTGAAAGCAATTACCTTTTTCTTCCATGCATTTCATGGCATCAAACACATTGACAGTAAACTGCTCACCATTTACCCTAAATACTAACTCTCCTTGCTCAACATCAATCAAAACTCGAGTTGTGGTTAAGAAGGGTCTTCCCAAAAGAAGAGGTACTTCAGAATCTTCTTTCATATCTAATATCACAAAGTCTGTAGGGAAGATGTGATCATTAACCTTCACCAGTACGTCTTTAACCACCTATTCTGGTTTCTTGATAGATCTGTCTGTAATTTGAAAAAAGAGTAGTGTAGGCTTTAATTCAGTAATTCTTAGGGACTTGGCGAAGGAAAGTGGCATCAAATTGATGTTAGCCCCAAGGTCACAAAGTGATCTCTACCCACGTGAACATTCCCAATAGTGCAAGTTATGCTGAAACTACCAGGATCCTTGAGCTTCGAGTAAACCATTTTCTGGATAATAGCACTACATTCCACTGTCAAAGCAACTGTCTCCATCTCTTCTTTAAGTTTATGCTTTTTTGAAAGTAAGCTCTTCATGAACTTAGCGTAGCTGGGCATATTCTCGAAAGCTTCAACGAACGAAATGTTTATCTGCAGTTTCTTAAACATGTCTAAGAATTTAGAATATTGCTGCTTTTGTGCTGACTGTTTAACCTCTGAGGATATGGAGCCTTAATACAAGGGTTATCTCCAAGTGATTTCATTCTTTCTGCTAAAGAAAGTTTATTTCCTCTCCTCCGTCAGGTGTCATTTAACAGTCCACCAACAATGATTACATCCTCATCTATGGGTTCATCTCTTTTCTCTTCAGTAGGCTTTTCCTTAACCACATCTTTTTCACTACTTGGTGCAGCTATAGGCTTTTTCACAGGTTGAATTGATATCCCACTCCTTGTAGTGATGGCATTACATTGTTCTTTGGGATTAATGATAGTATCACTGGGAAAGGTATCTGGAGGCCTCTCAGCCATCTGTCTGGCAAGCTGACCAATCTGATTTTCCATATTTTTAATAGATGTTTCTTGATTTTTTAGAGATGCTGCTGTTGTCTGAGCTAATTTCTCTATGGCTATTTCCCATGTGGTAGGTTGAGGAGCAGGATGTACTGGCTGAATTCTTATATTAGCTTGTTGTGGTGCCCCTTGATTATATGAAAGTGTGGGATAGTTCCTCCAACGATGATTATAAGTCTTGTTGTAAGGATTGTTCTCCCTACATTGGTCGTACCGAAGAGAATTCACCTGAGCTGGATTTATAGTAATCATGGCCTCACAAATATTAGCGTTGTGAGGTCCACCACAAGTGTTGCATACCACAGGGAATTGGGCGCTAACCGCGAAAATCTGAGTCTGAGAAAGAAGCTTCATAAGTGACTCTAGCCTTTGATCCATCTTGTCTTGTTTAGCTAACATAGTATCGTATCCTTCCATCTACATGATTCCCCTCCTGGGTTGTGCTGGTATGACCTTAGTGTCTTCAGGTGACATCTTCTCAATTAATTCCACGGCTCTAGTGGTTGTGATTTCTGATAAACTTCCTCCAGCTGCAGCATTGAGCAATATCCTATAGTTCGCTGAAATTTCTTTATAAAAAATGTGAACCTTTTCACCGTTGGAAAACACGTATTGTGGGCACCTTCTTATGAGCTCTTTAAATCTTCCCCAATCGATGCATATAGATTCTCCTTCGAGCTGTTTGAAGTTGTCAATTTGATCTTTAAGCTTGGAGAATCTAGATAACGGAAAGAATTTCTTTTGAAATTTTACTACAAGGTCTTCCCACGTAGTGATGCTGTTTGGAGGTTGCAGTTCTAACCAAGTTTGTGCTTGTCCTTTCAAAGAAAAAGGAAATAATTGCAGGCGAATTGCCTCTTGAGGTACTCCATTTGCCTTTATAAGATTGCACAGCTGCAAGAAATATGAGATGTGCTGATTTGGATCTTCAGTCTAGCTTCCCTCAAATTGTTTTTGCTGAAACAAGTTCAAGAAGGAAGCCTTGAATTCAAAATTGTTGGCCGGAATGTCTGGCCTTATAATACTCGCAACAAGATGTGAGAAATTGGGGTTCAAGTATTGCCCCATCAGCTCATCCGACGGATTTGGTGGATTTTGATTATTCTCTGCCATGACTCGCTCTTTAGCAGGACTAGAACTAGATGTTTCTTGTACTTTCCTTTCGGAATTATGCTTCCTATTGGTCTTTTCTAGTCTTCCTAACTTCGGTTCGTACTGCAAGTCACTGGGGTTAACAGTGCCTCGGAGATGCATAAACCAGAGAAACTAGGGCACAATGGATCTAACTAACGGATGCTACTAAACTAACAGAAATTAAAAATAAAATAAGCAGAAAAAATATAAGAGAAATAAATAACAAAATAAAAATAAATCAAAAATGAAAATAAAAAATAAATAAACTAAAAACTAAACTAATAAAAATAATAATTTAAAATAAGAAAAATAAATAAATAAATAAATACAAAAGAGAAAAACAAAAACAAACTGAAATAATAAAACTAAGTAATAAAAATAATAAAAGATAAAAATAAAATAAAAAAAATGATCCAATCTATAATTTAAATGATATGGTTAATATTGATAAAAATCAATCCCCGACAACGGCGCCAAAAACTTATTGCGACTTCGGCAAGTGCACCGGTCGTACAAGTAATATAGTGTAAAAAAGTGGGGTTGTCGTTCCCACAAGGACTGATTATCAAGCAATAACTTATCCATGCGATTAAAGTTGGATAGATCCTTAAATTGTATTTGCTGAGAATATTGGGTTAAATTGTAAAACAAAATTTTTAAAGAAATTATTTTTAATTTTTAATATTAAGAAATCAAGAAATGAATTCAAGAATTAATAATGTGAAGAAAACAATTTTAACTCTAATTAATGACGAACGTAGCTAGGGACTTCACTTCCTCGATAGTTTCTTAACGAGTTTAACTTTCATGCAATTAATGCTCGCAATCAATTATTGACAATTATTTATAATGTAACTGAATTCTCAATCCCTTGGTGGTTTCAGTTCTTTACTTTATTCCAAGGCTTTAATCGCTTAGGGTCTTTTTTTAAAGCAAGCTTTAAGGTCAAGAATTATGCGTCATAGAATTCATAAGACTATCCCTAGAACATACAAATTCCAGCAATTAACTAATTGGATTCAAGCATACAATATTCCTATTGACATGCAAAAATCTACTGCTCATTCACGATTGATCAGATCATAAACAAGACTAAGAGTTTTAAACAGATTAATTGCATAATTAAAATACAAATAATAATTACATCAAGAATTAAACAGCATTAGGAACCCATTGATTCCGTCTCACCCTAACTACATAAAGGAAATTAGCCTAGCATGTTCATAGAAACTAAAGCAAAAGATGAAAAGTAAAGAGAGTTCATGATAAAACTTGATTAATATGATCAGTGATGAAGCCTTGATGTTATCCTCCTCCTTCTCCTATTCAAAAGCTCTTCTTCTTGCTCCCCCAAGAAGTCTCTGGCGCAGATAATGATTGGAATAACTTAGGTTGTTCTTTTTAATGAAAATATGCATGAGCCTCCATTTATGACGTTGCTCGCTCAGTTTCTCGCTCGTTCGAGAAAACTGGCGAGGTAAATTAGATATCTTACTCAATTGCTCGCTCGTTCGAGCAAACTGGCAAGGTAATTTTATTATCTCGCTCAATTTCTCGCTCGTTCGAGAAAGTGAGCGAGCATATAATAATATTGATTTTTCTTTAATTCTTCAATTCTTCTTGAATTTCATATCTTCCAACTTCAATAATTCTTCATAATTATAATTTATCATACTAAACCTGAAAATAACACAAAAAGGAGTCAAAATCATATTCAAATATTAAATCTCTAATTATTTTGCATTTAATTAATTTACACCATGTTCTTGTCCATTTTTAACATTATTTAACATATCTTTAATCTTAGAAATATAGTGTCTTTGACACTTATTAGAATCAATTATTAATGTGTGTGGATACGTAGTGAGTACTATCTATTGTCCTGTACAATTCATTATTTTCCTGGCTTTTTGTCTAGGAGTAGTTTCGATTCTTAAAATATTTGTAATGTTTTTTTCTAATTAATGAATCAGGAAAAACGAAATTCTACCATATTTACCGATATGAAATGTTGGGCTAGGTTCACTCCTATGCGTAAGTAGACATTGTTATATTCTTCTTCTTCTTAATTTAGAATTACAAAAAAACCAGTTAACTTTTTTTGCATGATACAAAAAAAAGCAAAATAATGACTTTTTTTAAGTGTTTTAAGAAAAAGTAAATTATAATATTTTTAAATGTTAAGAAAAAATTAAGAGTAAACACCCTTTTTAGTCCATGTCAATATCTACAAAGTCTTTTTTAGTCCATGGCAATAAAAAAGGACCAAATTGGTCTCTGAAATTACAAACAAAGGCCATGTTAGTCCTTATGTCAACTCCCAAATATGTAGAGTGACCCTTTTCTTGTACTTTCAGGGACCAATTTGGTCCTTTTTTATTGCCAGGGACTGAAAAGAACTTCGTAGATATTGCCAGGGACTAAAAAAAGTGTTTACTCAAAAATTAAATTAGCAATCATGCCCATTTTTCTTAAAATAAGAAAATATATATATAATTAATTGCGGCCCACAATAATTATAAAAATTCTAACACTAAAATGTTAAGCAGGAAAATCTAGTCCATGACCTGAACCGATCAGGATGGTCCGACCACCTTGCATTAACATTTTCGTTATTATTATATGAAATTTCATATTAGTTTGGGCTAATTCTCTATTAATACGGTGAATATAAGATTTTATCTAATAATTAAAAAATATTAAAAAAATGCGTTACTGTCTACTGACCAATTCAAAATGGTTAGGAGCGTCGAGCTGAATCTCTTTGTTACAAATTAGAAAATCAAGATGCCAAAAGAAGACCTTAGAAGGCCACTATACATATTGTTAAACAGAGAGTGCGGTGTCTACATGCTTAACAACAAATAGCTAACATCCTATGTTGGTAATCGGTAACTAAGTAATAACACTGACACACACAAAAAAATATTAAAAAATGTGTTCCTGGCTTTTTCCAAAAAATATTAAGGAATACACGACCACAAATGGTTACGAGCGTCGATCGAGCTCAGCCTCTTTCTTACATTACGAGCTTCGAGTTCACCTTACACCCAAGCCTCAAAATAATTTAACACAAGCTGGAGGGTTGAGTATCCCTCCGAAAATAGCTTTTGCATTCAAACAAGAAGATAAGAAAGTCATGTTCCGCGGATTGCCAGCATAAGCCAAATCAACATCGGCTATCTCAACACCTTCGCATGGGTTTCGTGTGCTGCATTGCAAAGACACTGCAATGTTTGAGACTGTAGTTCCTTTTATCTTACGGAAATGAACATCGCTTATCTTCCACACCGAAGTTGATGCCTGCACATGCACAGTTACATATATATATAGACGACATTCCAGTTATATAAGAACAAGGGTATTTAGTACTTCTGTAAAGCAACCAGCTCAAGTTGATAAAATGATGAGTTTTTAATAGTTTTATATTATATCTCTTTAACACATACATAAGAGCCGAGCCTTTTGAATTTTGAAGTATAGATGATACATTATATATGTTTCTAGAATCAAACTCGTAATCTCATGATCACAGCTTGTATCATGATAAACAATTAATTCACCCAATAGCTAAAGGTAATAATTAAGTAATGAGTCTTTAACGATTTTATGTTATATATCTCTACATGAGTTCTACACACAAAGAAAGGGATAAACTTGCATATGCATGCTTAAATTTGTTTACCTGTCGTTTCTTTTTGGAACCATAACTCTGGTCAATAACAATGGGATTTTGGACATTGGTCATTGTGAGGTCTTCATAGATAATGTTTTTTGCTTCCGCTGGAGTTGTCCCCAACCAGGTTTTGATTCTGGCACCGTTGGTTGTGTTTATGAAGGTGCACTTTGTAACGGTAACACCGTTAACACTTTTCTCCTCTGGTCTCTTACCAAGGCTTCCAACACTGATGCCATGACCCGGGCCGCAGGTAATGTTAGTGATAGCAATGTTGCTGGTGCTATGTCCAACGGAAATGCAATCATCGCCGGTTCCAATGATGCTATTAGAAACGTTAATCCCATCGCTCAAGCTAATATGCATGCCATCTGTGTTTGGACTGTTTCCAGGTGCCGTTATGTGGAGGTTAGAGAATGAAATGTTGTTACAGCCATGAAGATGAAAGTGGAACTGCATGCTATTTAACGAAGTGATGTCCGTCACGATGGCATTGTTCACTTGATTGAATTTCAGAGACTGCGTATATAAAATTGTCACTTGTCAACAAAAAATATTTAAGACATTAATTAAGTTTACGAGTTCATTCTTAATTAACGGGTTTAAAGACTTAATTAGTTATCATCACTCATATTTGAACTTCGAACTATCTATATGCTTATGAATGAAATATTATGCTTACAGCTGGGAGGGAAGCACATTGGCCCTTGGTCTTCTTGCAGTCATTAAACGGCCAACTAACGGCTCCTTGGCCATCGAAAACTCCTGTGCCATGCAACTCCAAGCCGTCAATGTCTTCAAATGTGAACCATTCTGGACTGTAATACTCAGATAAATCTGTTGTGGCTTTAACAGTTCCTATAACTTCAACGGTTATGGGCTTTGGGCTGGTACATGGCCCTGCGAACATAGTTTGGCCAGCACGAAATGTTCCTGCTGGGATTAAAACCTTTGCTGGAACAGTACTATTTTTGCAAGCTGCTCCCCATGCAGCCCTAAATGCCTGCATAACAATACAAAAGATTCATTAAACATGTCTTCCCAAATTTTCTACTAAAAAAAGTCACCAAGTATTCCAAATTATTAGATGAATGTTATAGTCAATAAACAATTCAACCCAAAAATTTAAGTTGGTGGGTGAGACTATATTTAATAGCTTTATATATATTTATCTAACATGCTCCCTCACATGAGCCCCATTAGGCTTGATGGGTCGATAATGCATCAAGCTCAGTCTACCTATACTAAAAAATTTCACAATGTTTAATTATTAGAATAAGAGGCGGAGAGGATCGAACCCGTGACACCGAAGTTCTAATACTATGTAAAGAATCAATTCAACCCAAAAGCTCAAGCTGTTAAGTGAAACCCATCAATAGTTGTATAGTATATTTTCTAACACTTGCTCTCCCAAGGTTTGGATAATATAAATGTCCATTTATCAGTTTGGATAATATAAATGTCCATTTATTTGTATTAAGAAATTCCTTAATATTTAATGGATGGTGAAATCAAACTTGTAATCAGTTAATCACAAAAATTGCAGCCATTTAAACCTAAAAAATAATTACTAGAAAAAATTTGTATAACGACGAAATTGTTAGGGATGAAATTAGTAGTAGCGAGGATGAAATTAGCGATGGAATTTTCGTAGCAATTCCGTCGCTATACAAGTTTTTTCTAGTAATTCTCCTTACATTTATCCTATGTTTATGTATTTTACATCTTCTATGTAACAAATAAATTAAGCTCTTATCACGGTTTCAATTTTCATCCACTATTTCAATCAATAGTTTGATTACCATTTGACCATGCATGATAGTTCTAAAGGAATTCATTGTATATAGGAAGTTGATTAAATTAAACTCACGTCAATATTGTCAGTCTTGTCATCTGCCACAGCACCGAATTTTTTTACATCGAAAATTGCAGGACCACTATTTGGAAGGAGGCTTCGGCGAGTCCCAATGTTACGCGATGCACCTATCATGCTGCAAGAAAGGAAAGCAATGCCCAAGAAAAATATGGTCTTTGCCGTAGCCATGGTGTGTTACCAGCTTGAACCTTTACAGAATTTTAGGGTTTTAAATTGCAGTTTGCGGTTTGATATTACGTTGTGGTTGCCGTTATTGCAACCGAACTGCAATTTAGAACCTTTTCTCTATTATGTGTCGGATGAGTTAAATGTGACTTGAATCTTCATATTTATACAAGACAACTACCTCATGCTCTTAGACCCATGAAGTCTATCTTTGGATATCATCTTCCGATTCGTCGGGATAATGGAAGTTATTAGATTTAGTTTTTCCATATTTAGTATTTCTTTACCCCACATTTAGCTATACAATGATCACTTTCGTCAAAAAAGAAGCTTAAATAATTAGAGTGCGCGTACCTGGCCACTTCTGAACCCTTAGTTTGCAACAAAATCTAAAAAGAGTTTATAGCGCAACAAATTAAATATATAATTATATAACGTTCTATCGTTGACTAAAATATTGCAAGCATATGTTTTGTTCGCCTTTCGATTCAAGTGTAATTTTTCCGAATCACTTTCAATAGGAAAGAGAAAGAGCATAACTGAAGTCTTAGGCTGAGACTAATGGAAGGAATAGAGATTTGTGGTTAGATGTAACCAAAGAGAAAAAAAAAAATACTTAAAGAAAATTATCCAGAGGATCTAAATAATGCTTTTCTTGAAAATATTTAAAAACGGCTTTGTTCGGAATATGAGAAAAAGAGGAAGTAACATGATACCTATTTGTTCAATATCTTAATCAATTAACAAAATAAAAAAATATTTTTAAAAGAAAAAGTACAAGATATCCTATTCAATGTTATGCCTTTTTATAACTCTAATTAAAGATTTTAGTTTAATAACCCCAAGAGTTATTGGTCTAGTCACATCTTAGTAAGATCATATATTTAACCTGTTCAAAGGAAGATGATGACATTTTTTAAAGGGCGACCATTCAATAAAAACGACAGATAACCCATTAAATTAAACAACTATATATAATTATAGATATACCACCATTAATCCCGTTTTTATTTATTATTTTGAAGTTATTTAAATAATTTTCATTCAAAAATAAAATTAATAAATTATTCGTGTCATATCATATTAACCGAATAATAAAAATGTCACGTTTACATGTAGAATTTAGACATAGATAACTACGTGTTATGTTCATATTTAAAGTGTTCGTGTTTGTCTCGAATTCGTGTTTATCCAAACACGGTCGGCCAACCCAAATTACCACTCCTAAAATGCAAGTTGTCATATCAGTTCATAGATTGATGATTATTCTTTTTGACCATGATCCGAAAAAAAATCTTATTATGGATTTTTTTTTAAAGAAGACATGCATGATAGTTTAGCCCTGCGACATAGTTTGGCCAAAACGAGATGTCCCCGCTGGGATCAAAACCTTTGCTGGAACAGTATTGTTTTTGAATGCTGCTCCCCATGCAGCTCTAAAACTGCATAACCATACAAAATCATTCATTAAACATGTCTTCCCCCCTAGCTTCTTTTTTTGCGATATTTCAAATGATCAATCGCTTCGCGACTAGTCCGATTCGGGGCCTGTCCCGGGATTAAAATTTTAAATCCCTCCCAAAAACAATAGTGAGAAGGATCGACATACTTTCATTGCCAACTGCTTTAAACATTTCTTCCCTAATCTTCTTATTATGGATTTTTTTAAAGAAGACATGCATTTATATTACAAAAGTGTTTTATATTAAACATTACAAAAATAATTTATATAAAACCAATATTTTATAGATAATTATTATATACATTTCTATCTTTATAATTTTATCTATTTCGACATAAATCTTAATCACATTGTGCCAACAATAGAAAAGTATTAATGTATAAAGATTCAATATATTATAGGTTCTTGAAGTCTGCTTTAGGATATTATTCATTCATTCATTGATTACTTGACTAATCTGATTCGAGTCAAATAGGACCAAATGAGCGGCGAAGCTCTTTCTACTAATTTTTAACACAGCCGCATTCACAGAGACTCAAACTCGAGACCAATGATTAAATTGGAACAACTCCTTATCAATTAAAGTTTTCTCAAAATTCATAATATTTAGTATTCAGTATGAAAATAAAAGTTTATATCTTTATATATACGAATTGAATGAAAAAAATTATTTTGAACTTTAATGATACACAGAATATCTCTGTGTAGAGTAACGAACTAACTGTTTGTATTATTACTTTAATGAATATACTAACTGTTTGTATTATTACTTCAATGAATATATTCTGATACACACTTGTTGCAATATATATCCCAGCACTTACACAAGCCACGTAAGCTAGCTGGCTTTGCAGAACTTGTTACAATTACACAAGGTCCACTTATTCTAACGAACCTAACCTTTGGCCCAAGATACTGGATGTAGTCCTTGGCCCAAGCTGGATATCCTTTTATCCTAGCCGTTTGTTTCTTTGCATCAACTGCCCTCCCTTCGAAGGTCACCTTGTCCTCAAGGTTGACATCCGAATAAACCCTGTGAAACTCCACAACATCTTCCTATGACGTATCCTCAAGGACTGTTGAGGACCATTGAACCAAGAATTGTTTCAATCTGCCCCCGACCGACACCTAACGTGAAGCTAACAATGCCACCGGTTGCTGAACAGGTCTATTATCAAAACTCAAAGTAGGTAAGGGTTCGAAACTCACCTAATCCTTACCATAAAAAGGTTTCAATAACGAGACATGAAATGTGGGATGTAGTAAGCTCCATGTTGGTAAAGTTAACTTGTAGGCAACTAGGCTAATCACATGCTCAACCAGAAAAGGGCCAAAATATCACTTGGAAAGCTTGTGGTTGGCTCGTTGCGCTACAGATAACTGCCTATGTGGTTGTAAGCATAGTAGAACCTTACCACCCACCTGGAATGTCCTGTCTTGCCTATGGCGGTCTGCTTGTTGCTTCATTCTAAATTGGGCATGTTGTAGCTGCAACTTCAAATGATCTAAGAGCTCCTGACGTTGTTACAACATCATATCCACTACTTCGACGTTCACTTCCCCCTTCTGATATCTGGGAATAGCATTGGTAGTTTCCCATATACAACTTGAAATGGAGACATATTAATAGATGAATGAACCAATGTATTATAGTGTAGCTCTGCCCAACCTAAGAATTGAGATCATTTGTTTTTTTGCTCAACACAAAAAGCCCTCAAATACTGCTCCAGATAACGATTGGTCACCTCTATTTGTCCATCGGTCTGAGGATGGTAGGAGGAACTAGCCTTCAATTTTGTGCCACTAAGTACGAAAAGCTAACGCTAGAACTTGCTCATGAACACATGATCCCTATCAGACACCAATGATCTCAGAAATCCATGAAGCTTGACAACCATTGCACAAAAGAGATGAGCAACTATGGTTGTGGTGAACGAGGATGCTAATGGAACGAAGTGAGCATACTTAGAAAGTCTATCAACAACAGTCAACAACTAATATGGATGCATACTCATTTGAACGAGGAAGAGTTGTTATTAAATCTAATGTCAGATCATCAAACATAGCATCCAGAACTGGTAGGGGTTCTAGTAACCCAAGAGGAGGTTGAGTCGAGCCTTTAATCTGCTGACAGACGACACACTCTCGAACAAAGCTTTTGACATCCTTGCACATATCTTTTCGCATGAAAGAAGTTGACAATCGTAAAAAAGTACGCTGAATACCTGCATGATCGCCCAACATTGCGCAATGAGCTTATTTCAACAGAATGGTACGAAAAAGAGAGTGTGAGCTCAACAAGCATCTATCCCCATGAAAAATAATACCATCATGTCGACTTAACTGATGATCAGCAAGTGTACCTTGCTCAATTGAAGCATGTATATGTAGCAACTCTGGATCTACTTTGTTTTTCTCTTTTATTTTCTCCCAAATATCCAAGGAAGGTTCTAAATGCAAGGCAAATATAACATCCTTTTCCTCCTCTGGAAACTGTCTGGACAAAGCATCCGCTACAATATTTCACACACCAGATTTATGTTCAATGGTAAAATTATACCCCATCAACTTATAGAGGTAATTTTTTTGTTCTGCCATCTGCACTGTCTGACGCAAAAATTCTCTCAAACTCTGATGGTCTGTCTTGATGATAAAGTGGGAACCTAAGAGATAATGACTCCATCGTTTTATGGCTTCCGTGATAGTGTACAATTCATGAACATAGGTAGAGGAGGATGCCATCCTTGGACCTAACTTCTTACTGAAATAAGAGATGGGTTTTCCATCTTGTAATAACACAGCTCGAGCTCCCAAATTTGAAGCATCAGACTCCACTATAAAGGGAGAAGAAAAATCAGGTAGTTGTAATACTAGTGTGGATGACATATTTTTAAAGTTGCAAATGCAGATGCAGCCTCTGAAGTCCACACAATCTTCTCATGTTTTAATAACTCAGTAAGTGGATGTGCTATCGATGCATAACCTTGGACAAACCGTCTGAAGTATCCAGTTAAGCTAAGAAAAGCTCGAAGCTGCTTAATGGATTGGGGGTTGGCCAGTTCATCATTGCGAAAATCTTCTTGGGATCAGCCTTAACCCCACTGCCAGTTACCACATGTCCCAAGTAAAAAATTTCTTACACACCAAACTCATATTTGCTAAGTTTAACATAGAAAGAATTCTTTAGCAGACACTGTAATGCCCTATCGAGATAAACCACATGCTCTTCCAATGAGGAACTATAGATCAACTCATCATAAAAAAACACCACAATGCATGTCCTTAAGTATGGTAAAAAAATTTATTCATGGCAGCTTGAAACGTTACAGGAGCATTTGTAAGGCCAACGGGCATCACCCCAAACTCGTAATGACCTTCATGTGTTCTAAAGTTCGTCTGATGTATGTCCTCAGGTTTCATCCTTATTTGATGATATCCCGAGCGCAAATCGAGCTTGCTAAACACCTTTGCATTGAATAACTCATCCAATTGTTCCTCTATGGTAGGTATCAAAAATGCATCTTTAGTAGTCACAGAGTTT